TTTGAAATATTTTAAGACACTGCGACTTTTTGGTTGCGATTCCGGAACAAGTGCGCGGAGAAACAATAACGATACCAGCGGACGTGATCAAGGGGATGACTTGGGGCAAAAAGTCTCACCCACAAAATTATTTTTAATTAAACTATGATTAATGATAAAATCATATTTTGTGAGGTTTTCAAAACCGAAAATGAATGTTTCCTTTCATCAACATTATCAATAGAGAGTTTAAAACTCTAAAACCATCATATGAGAATTTGACGTACAGATACTGATATTTATTATTTTGTGCAATAGGGATTTTATTAGCTTACCTATACATAATAGGTATAATAATATTGTATTATTTATAGTTAGTTTAAAATCCTAAATTATAAGTTTTGTTCAGTGTATTTTATTTGTAGCAAATGCAATTACAATTACACAAATTCAATTTAAAATAGTATAATATAATATATAGGTAAAACATATTATACTTTCTCATTTTTCACTATTTTATTTGTTATTCCAAATTATTAAAAATATACTTTCTTGGAATCTTTTATTTTTTACAACCCTTGTATTAACTAGCTTCACTTTCCTACCAGAAAATATATTGAATTTAAACTTTAATGCATTTTTAATGCTCCAAAAAGTGATGCCAGACCTGATTATTGAATAGTTTTGGAAGTCAATCTTCTGCTACAGGTTTATAGCCGTTTACCAATATTCTGATTTTTCTTTACGTTTTTGTATAGCTTTTGTTTGAGTCAATTTTGTGTAAAATAAAAAAAAATACATTTTAAATTTAAATTGCTTTTGCTCCTGGGTTTCTATTTATTCGTGAATCTTGAAGATTCATATATAATTTGATACAATTTGATACAATCAATTGATTAATAAAATACACGACCGAAGAACTCAACTATATTATGTGATGGACTAAATTTAAGTATTATGTAATGTACCTACTACAACTTGTAATCTATAAATAATTTCTATATTAAAAAAATTTCAAAATCTAATTATTGAATGAATTAAACACCGAAATTAATTAACAATTTTAATGTCAGTTATTTTTAAATTATTTTATAATAAATAAACAGTTTTGGTACAAGTAGGTACAACTGCTATAATTATTCTTAAGCATTGACTACTAAGAGCTTTAATATACTTGGATTTTTCCTATAATGTACTTGAAAGTTCAGTTCCATTTTCTACGATTTTACGAACTCAATCTATAAGCATATAATATAGGTGCAAATATAACATTAGAGTGCATTGAATATTGATGTTGACTATAATATTTGGAGTGGGGGATAATTTTTAATTAGGGACTGAGCTACACTCTATTTTGTCTATATTATTTATTTGTACTGGGGCCTCAAAATTGTAATTGCGCACTAAATGTATAATAGATACATAACCTACATAAATAGTACGTAAAGAAAAGGTGGGCAAGTGGATGTCACTCCGTTGTACAATAGGTTACAAGTGGGTCACTGTAATGAATGGTGTTCAATTTGAATTCAATGATATTATATCATTGTATAAGAAAACGATTCTGAGCGAAGACGGTCAGACAGCTTATGATATTACTAAGTATATTTGATGATATTATTGTAAATAAAGTAATTTATATATTACCTATTTATAATATTATTATTTTTTATTCGTTGTTATGGTGATAATAACAAAGCGTTATAAATTAAAATCCCATTTTTGTAATAAATTTGTCGATAGTTTTCCAGTGGCATTAAATAATTATTGAGAAAATCAAAAAATTACCTGTCTAAAGTACCATCTTGATCCAATTTGCTAAAATATAAGATACTGTATGTTAAAATCTAAGTAACCCTTCTGGTAGAAATTTTGTATACAGGATAAAAAAAAAGAAAAATAAACACCACAAAAAATCTAAAAAATAAATTTTGAAGTAAGACCAAAAAAAAAAATCCAATAGTTTCCATATTGTTCGATAGCTGCGATTCTGCGAACATATATATGATATATTTAACAGCATACAATATTAGTAATAACTAATAACTATGTATTAACTAATATTATTATAATGTAGATCATAACCTTTCTGCTATTATGTAGGTACCACCTATATAATACCTTAAACATTTTCGATTTCGGTACCCAATTGATGTCTAGCGAAATACACTTTTTCGTCGATTTGTATAGTGATTTTTCCCTTTGTGCGCATAGCTGATATAATATTGTATAGTGCGTACGCTCGTAAATAATAAAAACAACAATTTCAGATTTCCGCTTTTTGACATTGTCATAATATAGTTTTCATGTATGTAGAGCATAGAGTAATAATATAGATGTAGAGTGCTGAGTGACTCATAACTGAACACAACTCGATTGCAGGCACGCGATTGCATATCATAGATAAACCATTGATAAACCTGATAGGTACCTAAGCATAGTACTTCCATAAACGGAATGAAAATAATATATTATATTATACAAACGGGTTTTTTTTTATCATATTGTCGTGTTGACCGTTGACGTACTAATTAAATTTACATGTATTTATGTTCTATTTACACTATATAATAATACAAATGATAAACCCTAATAAAGTATACAGAATCAAATATATAGGCTCATTTGTAGATCAGTATAGAGTTGTAATGTCGTATAGATCACTAAAATAATATACATATTGTATTACTGTACCTATATACCTATGCGGTAAGTACCTACTTTTTTGTGAGTATCCGGTACGGACATCAGTGACGGATCTTGAACTCTTGGGGCCCCGGTGCAAAAAAAAATGTTGGTGGCCCTAATTTAAAAATGTTATAAAATATACTATATATTAGAAAATGATCAATACATCTATTTTTGGATTCAGTCTCACTTCGCGTAATGCAACCCGGCGTAGATGTTTACGTTATTGTGTATCGGCGAACACGATAATGTGTATGAAAAATAAAATATACAAATTAATCAATCAAATATTCACAATTATAATTCACCACTGATGGGAATAAATTAAATATACTTTCAAAGTAAAATTAATTAAATACACCATTTGAAAAAACAAAATATACATTTTACCAAGTAGGTACCAATTTTATTTTATAGCACTCGATATCCATAATATCGGGGACCCCAAATATTTCAAAGAGTCGAGGCCCCAGTGCAATGCACCGCTTGCACCGGCGGTTGATCCGGCACTGTTCCGTATTATTATTGGATAATACATTTTGCAGTAAACAATTTATTATTATCGTCCCGTTTATAAACACGTTTCGTTATCATTAGAACATAATTTCGTCTGTAGCTGTCAAAAACAAAGTAGAATATTATATTATTCAGCTCATCTCCGTGAGTATACTATTTTTTATTTTTATGATTTTATTGAATGTACAATTCCCCTGTAAAACAAATTAAAACACGTTTCATTTTTTGAATAAAAAGACAATTCGCACGATCTCTAGTCGTCTATGGTTTACGTTTTAAAGAATATCATAATCTTTATGGAAATAGTCGTTGTTCGTGATCGGAATATCGGATTAGCGAAATGCTGCAAGAACCGACTATTATCATTGACAATAAATAATAATATGGTATCTAATTGATAATCAATGCTATTAAATAGTAAAACGATATAAGTTTAACCTTGTGGAATGTCGAGATTTCGTTAAGTTAAGCGTTTAGGATATTTATCTCAATAATGAATACCTAATTTTACGCAATTTCCATATTTATCCGACTCGATCCATCTACGTGCATATCTAATTTATTCACATAGCGCAGCGTTGGCTGTAATTCAAATTCGTAGATCACTTGGTCAATCATTTTACGCAATCATTGATAAATGTGTTCATTAGCGTTGATATAATTTGACCAAATAAATTCCTTCTATTATATAGAGCACCGCAGCTGTGTAATTTCCAAACAAATTAAGCTTTATAGTCCCCAGAGTCCCGTCATATTGACATTAACCATGCCTGATCATGGGTAGGTACGTTTATTTCTTAAGCACAGAACTCAAGTCGTAGCCTGTATAGGCATAATTCATAGACACTGAAATACCATGTACTATCGAACTGAAATTAGTAGTAAATTTCAATGGAAAGCCTCGTACACTCATCGCATTTACATATTATAACTTACAATACAATTATAAAAGGTGTATAATTTTGTTTTTACTTTATTGATTAGTTAAGATTTTATAGTTTTTTCAGTGATTTTTTTTTTTGGTAAAAACCATTTTTAGACAAACTACGCGCGAATATACAAATGCCAAAATTTTTTTTGTCATGAACGTTTCATTTCTTAACTATAATAGATGCAAAATTGTATAAAAGCTATTCAAAACAGAGCTAATGGAGAAAACAATTTTTCTTTTTAAAAGTGACATTTAATGTTTATAATGTTTCACACTATTTACTTCTCCATAAGCATTTGAGCAGCTCACACATCAATGATCTTTTTTTTAAAAGTTTCTTATAATAACTTAAGTTTTCTCTATGGTTAAAAAATTGTTTTGGTTATTAATCGGATTCATCTGACAACTGCACATACTAATTTAGATTTAAATTTTTTAAATGTATTATCCAATAATTTACCACTATTAAAAATACTTTACATATTACAATACAGAACATAATAGTATTTTTATTTTTGTATCGTTAAACTGATAAGCTCAACTAAAATAAATAATATATATACCTACAAAAAAAATTCAATACGTACATGTAATTGATTAGATATTAATTTGGAATTATAATACTGATACGATACTTGCTGCACTAGGTGGCGGATAGAATATAACGTCCAACGATATAATATAATGCAATCAGGTAGTACAATATTATACAATTCAGTTGAAAAACACAAAACCACAATTAAATTTACAATACTTTTATTTTAATCCAAAAACTTTTGAATTCATCTAAAGAAACTGTAAGTGATAACATTATTTTTATTATTTCAATTTTCATTTAATGCTTTTCTTTATATATTTATTTTTATTTTCTTGGTTTTGAGCGGGTTTAATTGAATTTACACTTGGAAAAGTCCATCTCGGGATGTTGTTCCATAAACCTGTAAAAATATTAACAGTTAAAACAACGAAAGTAAAAACATAAAATAAACTCACTTTTGAAGAACGTTCTGTTTTTTCTGCTCGTCTGACGTAGGTAATCCCATATTCTTTTGTTGCTGGTCGTACATCATTTTCTCCACCATGGACCTGGTTTCGCCCTCTAGGTCGGAAAGTTTAGAAGGTTCTGGGTTGATCTTTTTGGTAGATATATCGGTATCTGAAAGCACCAGTCTCGACCACCATTCCATTTTATTCACCTAAAACACATTGAAATTAAATGCTTGCAGTTTTAACCCCCCCCCAAAAAAGTGGGCAGGTATAGGTAATCGCTCTGCTTTAATGTAGGAATTGAGTGTACTTCGTCATTGAGTAAGTCACTTTAATGGATGTGTTAAATTTGAATTTAATGATAGGTAATTAATAAATCATTGTATACGAAAAATGACCCTGAGCGGAAACAGTCTGACAGCCTATGATACTAATAGTATATTCATATTGCTAATATATAGTAATTTATTTTACTATAAACGGAATAAACTATAAATAGACAATAGCTGAATAGCTTAAAACTAATCTAAATATTTTGAATATATCATAAGTAGCGTACAGTAAAATATAATAACATACGTAAAATTTCCCCACAAATTTTGAATTACAACAAGATAATTAAAATAGTTTTTTATTTTGCACAGTTTAATGATTTTGACGAATTCTCTAATTACTCTAACAAATTATTGTAGATTTATGTTCAACTTTTTTTTTGATCAACGTATAAACAATTTACTAGGAACCTTGTATTAAATTTTTAAACTTTTTGACTGTAAACATTTTTTACTATCTACATTTATGGAAAACAAATTAACCAAAATCTAAAAATGTAAATGGTCTATCAATAACTCATAAAGATCCATAAGAAAACCAGTTTAAGCAAAACTTGGTTAAAGGTTAAAATAAAAATTCCGTATTTCCTTAAATTTGGTTTTATTTTTCCTAATTATTAAGAAAAGTACTATGCATTTTTTTCTTTTGACACAAAGTACAAACTAGATCTAATTTACTACCAGGAACCACTCACCATGTTGAAAATCTAAGCATTATTACTGCTCCAGAGGTGATGACTGATGACAGACAAAACTTTTTTAAAAAAACCTTCAATATATATTAGTATTATTAGTATTATATATTGGTTCTATCGGAATTTAAAATTAGTTTGGACAATATTTTTATGCTAGGAGTTTGTATCGCGCATGCGCACATCGACCGCCTTAGGAGACTATTCGGAGACTCGTAGCTAATATCGGCAACGAAATAATACGCCGTGGCTACATGATAATATATAATATGATCTAAGGTTTAAACTAGATAATACATTCAATTTCACGAATTAAAACATGTTTATTAAGTAATAGGTACAGTTTTAATTTTAGATGTAATGACAAAAAAAAGTATAAAATAACTATCATATTCCAACAAATTTATTCACGTTGAAGTACCTTCGCTGGGAGGCTTTTTCTCTCTATATAACAGCTTAAGAGCTTTTGTTCTAATTGAAACCGATGGCATAATATAAAATTTAGAAAAAAAAATGTTCTAACAAAATCTATAATACATACCTAAATTGATGACTTGATAAATTATAGATTTATAAATATAAATGTAATGCTATTTGTAGGTTTGACATTATGTTAAAGTACAAGGTTACATCATAACTATATACATATAATATGTCCACTGTTCAGTATATTTATATTTAGTACCTATATTCGATAGTTGTTTATGTGCAATATTTCAATTTAAAAATAATATTCAGTAAACTGAATTTCGCTCAAATCGTTTTTGCAAATGATATGGTTCAAATATATATAATAATGATACATCAATTATCCGCTGGCTTGTGCTAAAAAGAGGACTCCAAAACGAAGATCTAGTGCCTATATAGTATAGTCTGTGTAAGATGTCCCGTACTCTTTCTGATTCCAAAACAAAATCAAGGGTGATAATATCGTTTATGACTTTATAAATCGTTTAAATTAAAACGACTACGTGAGATACGTGTACAAAATTTTAATGACTGTTTTACTCTATAATATAGTTGTAATAAAATAAACCACGCACCAATTAAACTGGGTGAATTCGCAAGTCTTATTATAATACCAACTACAAAAGAAAACATGAGTATTAAATTTGTTATTTTTATTTGATCTGTTGTTATTAATATAATATTATAATAGTCTGACATTTACATTGTATATAATATTATATTTTATCATTTTTTATTTTAATAAAATAAATCTAGGTACTTCAGTAGAATTTATGTATGTTTAGATAGAAGTTGCATAATATGCGACGCACGTGAATAAGAATTCATTTCAATAAAAGTATTACTTAATATTATAATTGTGTAATTAAATTATTATTAATTAATTTATTTGCGTGGTTTCTTAACGAATTCCTTGAGTTTATCCAATTATTGAGCATTTAAGGTTATCGATATTTTCATAAGAAACCGATTAATATAAAGAAACTGATATTTTAATTTCCAAAAGCATAGTATTACAAGCCCATGCAGTATGAAAAGAAATTTAATTTTTTACAGAATATGGATACATTTTCACGAAACGGACACGGAACTGGTTCAATAAATTTTACTCCCACATAAGCAAAAAATTATAAGTATTAAATTTTTAAAAATAGAAACAAGTTGTCAAGATAACTGACAAAACTTAGGTATCGAAATTGTACATTTAAGATTTAATTATATGGAATAATTGATATTTTTTGGAATTATTTCACATAATAAATAAAATACTGAAATAATAATCGACTGGCATACATTGTACTAATGTCTAATTGTAGTAAGTAGTAAGTATAGAAGTACCTTGGTAGGATAATAATTATTAGAGTTTTAACAGAAAACCTTAAATTGAATTCGTTAAAACGTTTGACTTCTACTAAAGGAAACTATTCAGAACAATTTTTTTTCTTAATTGGCAAGTAGATAAAAAGATATGGTACATAGTATATACTATCGGTGTTCTCAAATTGTATTAAATAAAATGTTAGCAAATAAAACTAAATTAAAGAAACAAATTGAAACAGGTAAATAAATTCTAAAAAAACATCAGGTTTTACAACCAATAAATTCTTTGTTAAAATGTAATAGATGTTTTAAAAATCAAAACTTGTTATTACTGCAATATCACGTTATTAAGATTCATATAAAAAATATACTTAAGTTTTAAATCATTATGACTAGTACCTAAGTACCTATTTAACATTAATTTTAAATTAATACATTTTATTATAAACATTTTAAATGTATCAATAGATAAAAACATTATAGAAGTGTCAGAATATAATATTATAAAGAAAAAATATTTATAAAAAAAATGACTAGCTTCGAAGATCAATAAATTTGTTATAAACACTATATTGATAAAACATAATCCATTTCGTTTTCTATAAAAAATAATTAGTTTTGAGGCGGTAGATTATGGCCGCTAAGCTGGCGTTTTGTACACTATTTTACGTGTTTACGCTTGTATGCAAAAACGCACCTAGCATGCATCAACTTAGGCAAAGGTATCGTCAGGTCGAATTTCGAGTCTCTAGCGGTGACGTTGCCGGGAGCAGAATTAACGGAAACCTTTTCGGGGTCAGTCAAATGCTCTCAGATTGAGCACCCTAACGGAGCCTTGATTCTAAGCAGACTCACTAGTACATGGAAAGTAGTCTCCGGATCTTTAAGGGTCAACCAACGTGTACACATTATTGTGTTAATAAACGATGTTACATGGGGGTCAAGCAATGTGCAAGCAATTCGGACCCCTTGTAGTGATACCACAATGAAAAAAAACGATTAAACTACAGCGGCTATTATAACTAACGTTTAAACCTAAACTTTTTTAGAGGCGTAACCTATAATATAAAGATTAAGGAATATTGGTTCCGAGCTACTTAGAATATAAATTCCTCATTTAAATATAGAATAAAATATTATGAAGATCCCATTCAAATTTAAAGTCTTTGTAACTAAAAATTGGTCATTTCTACTATAAAAATGAGGTATCCGATTATAAGAGATGTAGTGGGCTTAATATATTTAATTTTATTAATAACTAGTGGTGAATTAAAATTTACATAAATCTGTGTCAACTTTTAAGTGCTATCTCAGTTCAATTAACAACCTATATATTGTACTGAAAGAAACGAAGATTTTTCAACATATCAAATAAATGTATTCCTTTCATTACGATCAGAAGCGTATATTTTAATAGACAATCAGCCCCAGACAAATAGACGGTAATAATTATTCTACATGATTCTACATGACCTTTTATTTGAAAATTGATATATGAAAAATAAAAAATTTTAGGTAACTAAAACCGGGTAAATGTAGGTACTAGGTTATCGATATTAGTGCAAAATAATGGTGTGTTTTGATGTTAAGAGGACGTGATATATGTATGTGTAATGTATTATCTCCGTCTTACAAGTGCGTAATATAGCAAATTGTATGCTCAACAGACACGTGCAACTACGTTACTTTAAAAATTAGAGTGAATTGACCTCTTATAAAATCTAAAGGTAAGATTATTATCTAGACAAACTCAGGGGATTTTTATTATATTTTTATTTTAAAGCGAGTTATGAATATTTGAAAATTGTAAATTGTTGGAACATCTTAAAATACTCATAACTCGCTTTAATATTAAAATATAATGAAAAGCCCATGAGATTACCCAGATAATAACCTTAACTTTAGATTTTATAAGAGGCTAATTCACTCTAATTTTTAATTTAACGCAGCTACTTGTACGACGGAGACAATACATGTATCACGTCCTCTCAATTTGAAAGTAATAATAAATTATCACAATCAAAAAACAATTATGAGCCGAACTTGATAAAAAACTACGGCTGCAGATGACATTTTGTTAAATCAAAGCAAGATAAAGAAAATATTTAGGTACAGACATATGAAGGTTCTCTCTCACAAAAGATCAAAATGTGATTCAAAACCAAGTAAAACTTTTTTAAAAAAGTTATAAAAATTGAAGTCTAATAAAGTACAATAAAAGTCTAACAGTTACCTCCAAATATCGGAGACTCTACTACTTCTACTTCTACTTAAAATAATATACATGTACATATTATATTTTATTGATATTATAAAATATTAAACAGAAAACACAATATTTATACACATTTTAAAAGCAATGCAAATTCATTTATAATAACTCAAAACAAAATAGTATGTGTTTAAATATTTATTAAATAAAAAAAAATGAGGATTAAAATCGTACACATTCCTTGGGGAAGGGTAAGTTAGTCTGAGCTAGGTAATGAATGTATTGTTTTTTGTTATATCATGAAACAATTATAGTAGAAAAAATGCTTAAATATTTTACTTCAAGCGTGATGTCTGGTTTCTGTTAGCATATTGGATCTAGTTGGTACTATGGGGGTCAAAAGTAAAAATTCCCCGTACTTTTATATAATAATCGTGGGATAAAAACGAATAACGGGAATATCACACATTACAATAATGGATTAGAAATAAACAACTTCTAATTCTTTGGCTAGCAAGTTAAGTCCGTTATAGGAAGCACTTTCATAATTCAATAAAAAGTATAATAATAATATATTATATTTTTTTTACCTTTTCAATATTAATAAGGAATGTTTTTCCGTCTTCAAGTAGCCACGTGGTTTCTTCAAGTTTAATTTCATGCTGTAATTCATCGTCCAATATCGGTGGCTGTCCCTTTATACCAACGAAAATGTGTTTCTTTTTCAAATTCACAATAACATCACGTGGTCTCAATTTGAATGCAGCTTTAGATGGAATTTTAAGCTGTGAGAAAAAAACACAACAATAAAGAGCTTATAATTATTAATGGTATAATGTGCATAGATTTTATATAGGTAGTTTAAAATATATATACATGAGCCATGCAGAATATTTCAAGGTTAATATATAAAACATATATATTATATTTATCATATAGGTGCCTATATTACAAACGTATCTTCATCAATCGTCATCGTTACGTAATACAATATGATCATTAATAAGTAGTGACTATTAGGTTTTGATGGTAAACAAATTAGAATTTAATCTAAGTTAAATTCTTATTCGAATGCGTGTTGTCCAACATATTAGAACAATATCAATTAATGTCTAGAAATAGTAGGCTCCTAATACTAAGAAATTACAACTTTGACGTTGAAGCAAAAAATGTTAACGCTTTTTGTATTAAATGTTATTGTTTTTTTTTTTTCGCGAGTCAAGACTCAAGATGAATATTTTCAATTTCACGCATTAACCCTCAAATTTGAAGTACCTAACTTGACAAATACCATTTTCTCGTTATTAAGAGAGGTCTTTGACTCAGCCATGTTATTATACATTAGACATTCCCCCTAAGCAACGATAAAAAAAATAAAACGCAATATATAATTTAATTTTTTTTTTATTGACCGTTAAGCCCGGCAACTATGACCATTAGCTGTTTTTGTTTGTTTGTAGGGGGGTACTGTTGGTTTATAAACACGTGTGTGTAGTTTTGGCAGATTTTTTAGTGGGCACCCATGGGTATCTGCCATGTCCGGGTGGGGGATGGCGGCACTTCTCTCCGGACACCGTGACTTGCCCAAAGAAAAATGCCGCCCGTGAACCGAGGTTTGAACCAGTATCGGTGTGCGTCATAACCGACGCCTTAAGGACGCCACACACTGCAGAGGTGGAGGTAAAATTCTTATGTCTTGGCGGTGACGCCGCGGTGGCTGTAAAATTGTGTCCGGACTTATTTTGCCGTAACCGCTACCGCAAATTGTGTCCCGACTCAATTTGCCGTAACCGCTACCACCACCGCTGCAGTGTGTGGGGACCTTTAGTCGCGTCGGCCACTTCGTCCCCCAATATATAAAATTATATGATAGGCACTGGTAGCTATTAAGTACGATTTAATTGGTTTCTAAAAAAGGAAATTAAAGGTACAAGACATATTATAGTTATTTATTAAAATTTTAATTCATATCCATCATGTTAAAAATAGATTTAAAGTATTTTACAACGGCTCTTTATTTGGTTGCGTATTATGTTTAATTATTTAAGTATTAATTTTATTAAGTAATCAATAACTATGATAATATACTCTAGTTCTAAAAGTACTTTATAGATAACCTAACCTAGAAAAATATAATATATTCATGCCTAAAATTATACACAATTCAAAAGACAAAATATATACCTTACAAATACTTTTCAAGAGGAAGATCTATAACATTTTTTTTTTTTTATCAGCGGTATGATTTAGGAGAGGCCACAGCACTAAATAAATTATCCACAGTCTAGTATTCAGTCTTCAATTCTAGTACATATTTCAAGTAAGAATTAATTATTAAACTATTAAAAATTATAATTATAAGCTATATATGTATTGACTTAAAAATGAACATTTTTTCCCCGATTTTAGATTCTGAGCTGAGCGATAAATGTATTGATTTTAAAATAATGTTTTTTAGATTCTGAGTTGATTTTACAATGATGTGTTTTTTTTTTTAATTTTTTAATTGTTGTGTCTGTCATCACGATTTACGGCAGTAAAACTGCTTCGATTTTCTTCAACAGTATCTTGTTCGATGGGAAAGTGAATCTAGTTGGTGCATTCGGGATGTTTTAAATTTCTCAATAGTTTTCAAAAACAACGGGGAAAACAACAGCAAAATTAAGGAAAAACGGGAATTTTTACGCAAAATCGATTTTGGTTTTTGGTTTAACTCTAAAAAAATGAACGTATATACATGCATTTTTCACTGGTAGTTTATATTTGCATTTTCTATATACGATACAATTTTCAAAACATTTTGATTTGTATTGAACTCTGTTTAGGAACATTTTCAGTTTCCAATTTTATTATTTTTTTTTTCTATGAATGTCAATAAATCTTTATTTGTTGGGTAAAAAAGCTTGAAAATTTAATACAAGGTTCCTACTATATTGTTACAATAGCAGTTGTATAATATTAAGAATAAATAGGCACAATTTTTTTTATAAGCATTTAAAGTTCGAATTTTTACAAAATTTAATAATTATTTTGTAGTTAAAAATTTATAAAATGTTCAACTTTTATACATAATTTTTTTTTAATTATTGAATTGAGCTGCACTCAAATAAATGAATTCACAAAAAGCATAGGTAATATTACGTTTTATGCAATTTACATAATAAATATTTTTAATATAAATATAATATTAAAACTACATGGAAACACTAAATATCAAGTATAGTTTAATATTTTGTAATTATTATCAAACAACTATGAACCGAAAATTACATATATAGATGTATTAAACCTAAAAATAAATTAACACGCAATCATAACAATTATTTATAAGATCCAGTTAGTGAAACAGTTACCAACCAATGGTAGTAAAAGTATTTAAAAAACTACTTAGTTTCGACATCAGATAATTATTTGTATATAGTAATTAATACGAAATCTGTTTAATATGATATGACTGTTCTAGCTTAAACATTGTTTATTTGTAATATGCACTACATATAAAGGTACTACTAGTATGAACTACTCATTCAATTTTAACAAAAACGCCTATTGGGGCTATCTATACTTTTGTATGGAATTAATATTATTATTATTATTATTATTCACAATTCATAAATTAATAATATATAATATACTAATTGTAAATCCATTGAAGATCACAGTGTTGAATCCTGGCATTCCCAAATAGAGTTTCTCGACAACTCCATAAAACCCAACGTCATTACCAAAGTAAAAAAAGTCGTGACCAATAAAGAATGTATTTTTTAAAGATAGCAACAGACATCTTGACAGTTTTCTCGCGACCTTGGCGAAGATTAGGGATTTCCCTATCATGAAAAATCCATAGACGTTTAACTGAAAGACCAATGAATGACAAACAAAACGTATAGTATATACCTATACAACATAATGTAGGTAACTAACATTCCCCAATGCACATTTACTCATAAAGTTTTCACACAATATTTATGAATAAATAAATATTCTTTAATGCAGGGGTCGGCAAACCTTTTGAACCACGCGGGCCATATTTTTTTTCAAATGTTCATCGTGGGCCACGTTAAAAAAATGTTTACATATGATATATATAATACTAATAATTGTATTGCTTTTATATTTGATTATTTTACATAGAAATATGAGTATAAAAATATACAAATGCTACTGGAAAAAATTTAATCGAATAAAAAATTGTAAATTTGTAATTAATGAGATTTCTGTACCTGCAGTTTATTAGTTAAATGTTCGATGTAATACTACGGTGTAATATTAATCGCTACAAAAGCAAAGTAACTATGACTGAATAGTGCAGCCATCATTATCTTCGACTCCGATTAGATATCTAATAATAACAATATTTTATACATTAAACTGACCATATAGCTATATAGAATAAACATCAACTATGAAGGATTAGAATTGAAGAATTGAAAAATATTGAAAATTGTATGAACAATTTTATTGAAAAAAAAATAAAACAAAAAATTAAACCTTTGTGCGGGCTATCAAAAATTGTTTCGGTGGTTGCCGACCCCTGCAGTCTAATGAATAAATATCCTTTTTATCTTAACGATCAATGTTTATGAAATAAACAGAATCTATGGAACACGCGTAGAAAAATAAAATATTTAAGTAGGTATATGCCATTATTTTGTAATTTATTAGTTAAGAATTATCACACTTGATAATTGGTTAATAACTTTAATAACGTAAACTATGTCCGGTGCAGTATTATTTCAAGGAAATAGTATGCATACTATACAGTTTGATATTATTATAGTAGATTGAGGTGCTATAAATTAATTAACAATGATCAATGATTAATCAATAATCAGTGTTATAATAATGCCGACCGCAGACCGGTTCAAAATTAATATTATTATTAATTATTAAAGATTAGTATTATAAAATAATTTCGTTGGACAACAAAGAGGTGTAACCAAATAAGAACCACAATATCAAATAGGTATATTGATCCACATACGCGTATCTACAAGGTGATCATCACACCCGAGATAGTTTCGATGATTATTATTATATTTATAGTTATAAGAAATTAAGAAAAAAATGTTTATACAATACTTAAAATGTGTACATAAACTAAATTAATATATTAAAATGATTTTTTTTTTTTAATATCTGCAGCAACCGAATCAATAAAGGATAAACTTTATGAGTTCCTTTGAAAAACAAAAACTCGATTGGTGAAAATGAACGACCAGCTAAAATTAATAACGTGACCAGAGTTTGATAATTACAAAAAACAAACGGTCCTAAACAAACAAAAACCCGTCTGTCCATAAATGTCACGTTCCCCTTTAGGATCACGTTCTTTTGACGTGCAAAAACTTGGCGAAATATAATTACAATACTTTATATATACAAATAATAATACAATATTTAGAAAAATTAATTTCCCTAATCATTTATAGAAAATATGAATTGTTTACATAATTATATTGAATAGTTTTGGAAGATTTTAAACACATTTTAACAGAAACTTAAGGTCAAATAGTATGCCTAGTTACTAAATAATTATTGGTTAGAATCTGAGAGATCTAACCATTAATCATATAATTTATAAACATAATAACCCGTTTATATTATTTAATTTAATAAATTAATAATATTATTATTTCAATTTTCAACGCTAATAATTTAACAAATACAATTTTAAATCAAACATAAAGTGGGTATTGTGTTTAATTTTACATGCAGACATACAGTTGTTTTTATTTAAGTTTAATTTATTCAATATCCTAACCTAGCTTAGATAGCAAAGCCGTATATTAATAATTTCCATAATTCATATATATTAATAAGGTATTAACTATTATTATTATATTATGACACTTTTACCTAACTTTTATAATTCTCAAACAAAAGCAAACACCTAATTTTAAAATGTGTGAAACATTAGATTAAAATAAAATAAAATATAAAATGTTATTTTAATTTAATGAAACACTCGGAATTAGCGGCCACATTGGGTGTGGTTTACAAAACGTGTTGACTTAAAAGTTTTTTTTATTAATAAAACAGTAACTTTACTGCCTATACATAATATATGAATAGTACAAGTCGCAAAAGTGATATAAATCATACCTGTATTTTTATTATTTTAAATTGTCTCCTGTTATATGGTATAATGCGAAAATGTAATCCAAGCCAGGAAAAAGGAAGGACTAAGGTAAATTTTAGGAAGAGAATGACATATATTATGTTAAATTTAAAACAATATACAATTTAATATTATTTGTTCATGTAACGTTATAGAAAATATTATCATGTTTAAACAAGTACAACATTATTAGCTAATTCAAAGTTATTAATCAAGAATAATATTATTAATATCTTTATTTTTAACTAAGCACCAAAATTAATGGTAATAATACAAGTTATTGACAACAATATTGCCAAATTATACATTGGTAATTATAAGTTTTGATAAGATAAAGCCCGTGTTCTTAACTTTTATAAAATTGATGCACAATAAATCAAATTCAAATTTGACCACATTTGTTATCATTTGACATAAATAACTAAAAACAAATGTATAATTAAATAAATATGCGTAAAAGTGTACACCTCAATAATACAATTTTAATGAGTGGTTTTTAAAACATTAAAAATGATTTATGAATAACTTAAATTTCCACTAATGTCTGTAATAATTTCATAGATATTAGATATATGTAACTAAAAAACTATGGACTTTAACTTGGTTTTAAATAATAGTTTGGCACTTTTCGATGGTTTTTTTTACATTTTATTGATCAAACCAGTTTTATCCATTAATTGTATTAATAATAATTGTTTCTTTACAGTCAAGGTATACACAATCATACGAAAGGGGGATGAGGTGGCTGAGCGTCTAACGCGTCGGCTGCGGCGCTGCCGGTCGCGGTTTCGATTCTCGACCACCTGGCGGCATTTTTCTCCGGGCAAGTCACGGGGTCCGGAGAACAAGTGCCGCCATCCCCCACTCCGGGGCATGGCAGAAACCTACGGTTGCCCCATTCGAAATTCTGCCAAAAATACACCCACGTGTAACACACCTACCGTTCCAAAAACCTACAGTACCACCCCCCTCCCAATGGTTTATGTTGCCGCGGGATAATTAATATAAAAAAAAAAAAATCATACGAAAAAGAATTCTTTTAACAGGTTTACTGGTTTAACTTGTTATCTTAAAAAGTATAAGGTACCATTTTTGAAAGTATTATTTTTACAACATTTATACTTATCCAAATTATGATTATTTACTGTAAATATTTCAAAATTAACAAAATTGCGTGGTTAAAATTTTGTTTATAAGTTGATAACATGGCTCGGTCTTGAATAGTTGAATCTATGCACAGATTATAGATAATAAATAGATTATTATATCTATGAGAGTATATCTATAAAAGGATCTTTGGGGGCAATTCGCATTTTTTACAATCTATTACTATTGTTAAAGGTTAGTTTAAGGGGAGTGAAGGGGGCATTGGGCCAAGTCCCACGGGATTTTTGGCATACATTTATCCAGCCCCCAAATAATAAATTTAAATTGTGCATGTATCCGGTAATATATCCGTCTCCCTTGATAAAAAAAAGGAAAAATTATTAATTCACTTCTGCCTTGTCACAAACTCAAAACGAATATAATATTATTATTATTATTTTATTTTTGGGAAATGTAAGTAAATAATTAACAACAATAAAATTCCCCAAATGGTAATAAGATTTAAACAATAGTTCAGGTTACATACACAATACACACAAATTAGACATATTTAATTATTAAAAATTGAATTAATGATTTAAAATGTATGTAGGTATACCTATACTTAAAACAAATTTAGATTCTGAGAGGAGAGATAAATGTATTGATTTTACATAGAGGTGTTTTTTTATTCGTGTCTGTGTATACGATAAGTAGTCAAAATAAGGCTTCGATTTTCAACTTCAGTATCTTTTCTTGTGGGAAAGTGAATCTAGTTGGTGCATTCAAGAGGCCAAAATACTGGGAAAGTAGTTTTCAAAAGCGCCGGGAAAAACAAAAAAGAAAATAAGGAGAAACGGGCATTTTTCACAAAATCGATTTTGGTTTTTGGTGTAACTCAATATATATTCACTGAATGTTTATATTAGCATTAACTATACACCATAACATTTTCAAAATATTTTAACTCTTATTGAGCTATTTATAGGAATATGCAATTTACTATTATTATTAGATTTTTTTAATAAATGTACACAAAAAATAGGTCAAAAAATTTGAAAATTTAATACAAGGTTCTTCGTAAGTTGTTGTTAGTGAAAATTAAAAAAAAGTTGAGCGTTAATTCACAGTACCTAATTTTTTATGAGCCTCTGAAATTAAGTCTAACTACTGGATAAAATACTTAATTAGATACAACAGCGTTTTCAAAAATATTATTCACTAATAATTTACTGTAAAAAAGGTTATTCTCATTCGAAAAACGGACATTTGTATCGACCCACAGGACACTCCTTAAATAGTGCAAAAAATCAAGGTTTTCTACTTTTATTTCAATTTGCTTATTGATATTAGTTTGTTTTAATTTAAATTTAAAAATAATATATTGGTTTTATAATTTTATGATTTTTATAATATTGGACAATATATTTTTAATCATTCTCAGGTTTTAAAATAAATTGAAAATTGTTTACGATTTTAACTTTGATTTTTACCTACGAGATATACGTGCAGGATCGTCGTTTGTGCGTTTTGTTCACACGTTATTACGCATGGCTGTGTAACATTCCTACAAAATTAAATTACCTACCAATGAACAAGATTATTGATCTATTGGTTATTCTTAAATTTTAAATTCTGAATTACATTTTTTTTAAACTGTAAATCAATTTTTATATAAAAATTATAAAACGATTATTATTTTGATTTCACAAAGGATTTTTAACGATATTTAAAGTTGATTTTGAAATCGATGACATACTCGGCAAAAAATCTCAAGAATTTTAAGATATGGTAAATTTAAAAATTTACAAATTCCAAAAATCATAATATTATTAAATAAATCATAGTTTATGTACGTATCAAACTATTTTAATCAACTTAATAGGTAATTTTTTTAAATAAGGTTTACACAAGTACCTAGACACAAGAGGAGTGTGGTCATGATGATTGTGATAAAAAGGATTCTTAATGTTAATAAATTGTATTATTTATTATTTATAAACATTTGAAATGTTCTATTTCTTTATTAGTTTCGTTTAGATTTATGTAAATAAAATAATTGTTTTTGGGTCAAAAAACTTGAAATTCGACAGGTACAACGTTTCTGCCTAAATGTTCTTACAGCAGTTAAAAATAACAATCGTAGAGACATAACTTTTTATGTTTTAAAATTATTACGTTTACTATACAAAACTTAACTATTTACGACAATAATTGTAAGCTATTTATACCACGAACCTATTTACATATCACATCATTATACAATGCGTAATACCAAAATCAATTTTACTTATGTGATATTGAAAAAAAAAATTAGTCCTATCTACCGATAATATAAAATATTATGTTCATACAAATACTATATAATATACCTAATATAACATATGTATAGGGAACAATACTTGCACATATTTCTAGTGTAAGTATTTGCAGTAAAGGAACTGTGGACCACCGAGAGCTCGTGAATTTGAAGTTCAATATCGAGATCAACTAATATTCCCACTCCGCCATGATGTCTTGGTTATATTATTATGGCTGTAATATAAAATACTCGTGCGCTCTATTATGCGGTGCATGTGATGTTTCGCCGGCTACGAGGAATTATCAACATCGCTAACGAGTATCTAGTGATGAGCACGAGTAGTTTATTTTAAAAAGAAAAGGCCGCAACCCCAAGAGCAGGAAGTTTTCTTTTTCGAATAACTATGAGTCCAAAAGTAGATAGCGTTATTGATATCGACAACACTGTTATTGATGTGAGTACACTTCTCTAAAATATTTTAATAACTAACCTAATAATACAAAATTGTATGAGTTTTTTAGTCATAATGACTTGATTAAATATCATAACTTTAAAAAAAATTCGTAAGTACCTACGAAGCTTTACAATTAAATTGATCTACTGAGTAAAAAAAAATTAAATCAAACTAAAAGATGCATTATACTTATAAACACACGATTAAACTATAATTTAAGAACGTTTAAACAATTAAAACGCAATTAACATAACCATTACAATTTTAAAATTTTAAATAATTACTATAATATTCCATATTAGGTATTAATAAACAACATTCATACCAATATTTCAGATTTCAGTATTATGATTAACGAACAAATACAACAATATGAAACATACCCAAAACCATTAGTTTATTAATTGTAATAATTTATTTATAACACAAAGCAAGTAATATTACTTGTTTTGTTCTTTTAGGTATATGCAATTAAGTAGGTATTCAAAAGTATATCTAAAAAGATTTCGGTATGGTTTAATTACAGACTTGGGTAGTATTCCGTATACAGTATTCGGAATACTGTAAATTCGGAATACTTTTTAAATACTTTTTTTGAAAGTATTCGGAATATATATTTGAAATACTTTTAAAAAGTATTTTACCCAAGTCTGAGTTTATATTATAATTTTAAATTTGTTCTAATTCGTATAAAATATTGTAATACATTTGAATAAATAAAATCAAACCGTCCAATACTTAGAAATACTATAATTTATAGACAAATTAATACAAATTTTTTATATAAATAATTCACAATGATATCAATAATTTGTACTTTTTACTTATTAAAAACTTTATACAACCATCACTGAATAATGAATATAAAAATAGTTTCTTTTTATTTAGTACTCCCAAATACTTAAAATAGTATATTGTTTCTGTAGTTGTATAAAAGAGATTTTTTCTTATTTAAATTAAATTGTATACGCTTATGTAAATAAAAATAAATTAATATATATATATATATTTGTGTGCGAAAACATGGTACACTATATAATTAAATTACCCATATTACTCAGTAGGTAGTCAGACCTTATACATATTTTTGAATTCTGTTTCGCGGGACATGCAACTATACTATTGGATCATAAATATCTCGCACACAGACTTCTAAAATATAGGTAACTCAGCAGTGTTGTAAAAAATACTTTTAAAAAGTATTTGAGTAATTACTCAAATACTTATAAAATAAAGTATTTAAAATACCACCCAAATACTATCTATTGTAAAGTATTTGAGTATTACTCAAATACTTTTTAGAAGTATTTGAAATAATTTTCAAATACAAAACAAAAAATACGTACGTATACGACATACCTTACCTACCTATGTTCGTAATTATATTTCGCTATGGATAATATACTAGTATTGGTAGTAGTAGGTAACAGAACGTCCGTTCCGATCGTCGTCGAGTGTCGACGATAACAGACGGTTTCTCAAGTAACTAATATGAAATTAGCTATTAAATAGACGAAAACTAAAACCAATATAGAATTGTTCATAAATGATAAAATTATTTATTATATTATTAAGACATTATTATTATGTGACAATGAATAAAAAGTTGAAAAAATAAAAAAGTATTCAATAAAATAGTATTCATAGTAAAAAATGTATTTAAAATACCGTTCAATACTCAAAAATAAAAGTATTTGAAAAAAGTATTCAATACGGAAAAAAAGTATTTTAATACTTTTACTCAAATACTTTTACTCAAATACTTTACAACACTGTAACTCAGTTATAGTGGACTCAGGTTTTGTGCGACAACAACGGTAGATTAAGATGGGTAATACCATACTCACTCAGCTCAAAGTGCGAACTAGTTTTTAAATATTTGTTAAAATATTATTAACATTTTTAATTTCTAACTATTATAGTTTATACAAGTACACTGTACTTAAATAAACAACAGTAATCACTAATCACATATTCTGTGTAATTGAATAATTTTGTTTTAACAAAAATAAAATATTTTGAGCAATGTTTAATCTCATTGTGTATATAAAATATTTTACAGGACACATAAGATGCAATGATAAATAATGAATCCACTTGAAATAACTGCCAGTTAAATATTTTTTAATTTGATGAACAAATAACTGACTAGTTTGTTTTAAAATTTTAAAAATATTTCAGTAAATATTGTATTGAACTAATTTAAAAAACGTATATCTAGTACGTTAAGTACACGTTTGAGTTTAATTTAATTTTAATATATTTTTAAAAATAAAACCAACTAACTTATCCGTTACGCATGACTGAAAAAACCTTGATACCACATGTGCCACGACTTTAATAAGATTATATAAAGAAAAATCATTGACTAAGAAATTATCCATGTATTGAATAGTAATTTTTACGAAAATCTTACGATACGAAAATTGTAATAAAAATAATAATGACCATGCACTTACGTCTAAATTGACATGATTTTAGAGTATAAATTGCGCAAATATATTATTACAAAAAATAATATAAAGTATAAAAATATATGACCTTGCACCGAAACCAGATCTCTTGAACTCTATTGATCCGCCTTCGTATCCGGATTTGTATCCGTGTTCTTAGAGCCTAGATAATCACATATTAAACCATGTGGTGTGTACCTGTTAAGAATTTTGCATATTCCAAAATTGCATGACATGACTCCAGGATACGATGTATAAATTACACTTTTGTATTGCTATTATTTCATATTATATCATATCCCACCCACTACTTTAATAATAACACATTTATTCAAGTTTAAATACTAATAAATACTAAACTAAAATGTATATTATTATATTATTATGCGAAACATTGTAGTATATACATAATTCTTTATCATGGCCGTATAATTTAAGATGGCAGTCCCCTGTGGCCCCGTTAAATCCCCCCCTTAAAAAACGGTCAAAATATTTTTTAAACTTAACTCTGAGCATTTACATAAAATGTCTCAATAAAACCCGTGCAAATACATCTCATTTCTCACTTATATTATTTAATAGTCCCTATAAATACTAAAGAATTCGATAATGTATTACGTATATCGTTAACAAAATACAATTTTTTAAGTGATTTTGCATAGAAAAAATTATTATCAATGATGAAATAGTTCATATTTTGTGTTACGTAGATCCAATAATAATAATTACCTAATAACATAAATAATAATTGTTCCAAAATGATAATTCAATTGTAATACGTAGTACTTTTTAGAGCAATAATTTAATACAAAAAAATTGTGAGTTTTTTAAATTTAACTTCTAAGAAGATACTACGCCCGCATGCGTTGTTTCCGTCTTACAAACACATAACATAGTAAAATGCAGGTTCTGAATAATCCATTTAATTGTCAATTGATATGTTTAATATTAGAGTGAATTGTCATATTATCAAATGTTCAAGTAAGAACAGTAAATATATTTTAATTTTAAAGAAAGTTATGCTCATTTTAAAATATGTAGACAATAAAATTTTTTTTAACGCTCATAACTCGTCTTAAAATTAAAATATAAAAAAAAACTATGAGCTTTACTAGATAATTTAATAATATGACAATTCACTCCAATATTAAACTTAACGTAGGTAAATGGATTATTCAGAACGTACATTTTGCTATGTTACGCGTTTGTATGACGGAGACAACGAATGCGGGTGTAGGGACGATCTTAATGTTTATTTTACAGTACCTATGTTTTGTATTATTTATAACATTATTATTCTAGTAATAAATTAGTAATTACCAATAATATATCTAATATTATAATATAATATATATCTTATAATAATATATTAATGCTATTAAATTTTTTACTGGTTATTGATAAACTCATAATAATATATTAGAAGTTATGACTCCGAAATTTAGTAACAAGACAATAATCTTATGTACGTCCACTTAGAATAAAAATAAATGACAACCATTGGCAATGAAACATTATTCGCATTATCCTCATTTCAAAAAGACAATGGTCAAATAGACCCCTTCAATCTCAACAATTCTTAACAGTATTGTTATACTTGTTATCTATCTACAATATTGTTATATAAGTATTTCATTATTAGCATAGCCTCCAGTGTATCATCGGTGTATATTGTAAATATAATAAATAAACCTGTTTTATAACTGTTAATCGTAACTCAACGCTATATTGTACAACATGATTTATTAATTATTTATAACAAGTAAAGCATACCTATTTATAGACATGTTATTTGTATTATTATTAACTGTTTTGAATTAGTCGACAACTAAACTAAGTGGGTAGACATGATTAAAAATTATAATTTTTGCGAGGAATAAATATTTTATAATACTTTATAATATGATGCAATTATAAAACATTTATAATAAATTATATTAGTAAGTATATCAAGCATTTAGGGTACAAAAAAATCACAGAATATAAATTACATAATGTGTAATCTTTTAATTAATAATAATTAAATTTCATAAAATATAATGTTTATCTGCAGTTATTCATTTTGTAATATTATTATAATATGAAATATTAATAGATTTTATGGAGAATCGTAAAAAATGTCCATTATCGAAAAAACTATAATTTATAATTACTTTTAAATACTCGTATAATATTTATTTAATGTGTCATACTATTATGTTCATAAGTTACCAAAAAATAGGTTAAAATGAAATGTTTTAATTTGTGCGCACTTTAAAAACAAAAAAAAAATAAGATCACAAATTACGACAATATTATATATACTTATCAGTTATCAGTTATATTTTATATATTATGTACTTCTGTAATTAAAATAACAACACTAGTTGACTAAAGACATAACTAAGCAGTTATTGAAATTCCATACATGTAACTACTTTTTATGTATCGAAAAAATTTAATAATAGAACAATTTTCATTACACTTTGTCAGAAAATAACATTAAAACCGGATAACTCTATACCCGAAGGCGTTAAAAAATTAGATTACATAGTCTTGAAAATTGCAATACATGACCCGGACCTTGAAACTTGACTGAAAAAAATCCGGTTCAAATATTACATAACCTGCATCTAAGCGTTATTACTTCTTATTACAAATACCCTATAGGTAGGTATCGCGACGAGGTGTATTGTTTTAGACGACGCCCATCAATAACCTTGATCTTCAATAATCATAAAATTACCTACATCTTTCGTTTGTCATACTTTATTTTTGTATTCAACATACTATATTAATTCATGTTAACTACTATATCATGTAGGTGTATAGATGGTCTATACCAAGACCATCATTGTCGTCATGGAGACAAGAAAATTCCAGTGACAAATCGCAGCCAGACTCATCCACATCGCCTAACCAACTAAGCATAAAGGTAAACTATCCATAAATTAGTAGTAAAATTACTGAGTTATTTATAGAAAATAATATGTTTTAATTTATTAACCATACTTAAATTAGACTAAATATTCTAATGGCCAATGCTACCGATGTTGTTAAAAAACTCAATAAAAATATAATAATAATTTCACAACATTTTAGTAATTTTATTATTATAATTTGTACAAGAAAAAGCAACATTTATATTTTTTTTACTCATTTAAATATCTATTCTCATATTGTCTATTGGTGCTTAATAAAAACGCAGCATATTAATTGAAAAAAGTAATTTTATAATTAAAGCAACTCTTATTATTTCAGTGTAATAATTATTTTGTAATATTTTACAAATATTAGTGACTCCTATTTAAATGGTAAATCAGAACACTTATTTTATTAAACTATTAATTTTGGCATTAAAAATTATAATAGTTTTATAACGCTTATAAAAAGATTAATTAAATGTTAAATGTTGATTTTAATATATTAACTAAAAAAATATTAATACATTATTTAGATTATACTTTTTTTTTTTTTTACATTTAAGTTACTTATATACAATTTTAATGCATATTAACATAATCTTAATTTGTAATGCTATTAATAAATTTATGCTATGTAAATATTTATTAAAACAAATAAAATAGGGGGAGGGATATATATTTTAGTCACTAATTCAACTAACTACCCACTTATTCAATTACTTTTTTTAACTAAATTAATTTAAATATTTTACTCTTTCAAGCACGTTGAATATTTTATTTCCAATACTTTGTTTAAAATATATTTTTGTACAATATTAAAATTTGCCTAAATTGTATCATCAGAAAAATAAAATGATTTTTTTTTTTGGGGTATGGTTAAAAACATGTTTCTAATACTACATTTATTTTTAATTATAGAGTAAATCATCAACAACTTCAATGTCACTATGTGCAGAAAACTTAGATGCACATAACAAATATATTGATCGAAACAATGATTTAGATACTTTATCAGTAGCATCATCAAATCATTTTACTATTGTTAATGGCATAGGGCATAATCGACATAAGTCTAGAAAGCCTACCACATGTTGTTGTGAACAACATCAGCTTACTGTATTGGTAATTTCTATGACAATAGTTTTCTTCCTAACAATTGTATACTGCATCTACTATGTTCACAGTAAGTTATTAAGAATACAAATATTATGCTATTAAGTTATTAATAACCATAAAAAATATTTGCATTATGAAATAAAATTGTATATATATTTTAATGAGACTTAGAACCAGTGGTACCATACTACCATCTCTGATTAAAAGTAATTAAAGTTTAACCATAGACCGTACAACTGGCCCCAACTCAGCAAAACAAGATGTAGTACGTTCTTAGCATATCCTATAAAAATAACTATGTATTTACACATTATCAGTTTTCAAAATTATAAATAACAGATGTATATTTTTCTTTCCTATTAGTATAAAGTATAAACAAATAACCATATTCAATATTATTTAAATTTTTTTTGTTTATAAATTATTAGCATTGTTTACACTTTTACAGATTATAATAATTGTGGAAATTAGTACTTTTTTGTATGTAAATATTTGCCATTGGTTACTCAGCAGATTAGGTAAAAGCATGCATCAAATTGTAGCGTTTACAATGACCTCGGTTAAAGAAACCATATCTTAAAACCAAATGTAGGTTTGTAGCTTATACACTCATAAATTACTCGATTAATTTTGATGAAAATCTTAGTGATTGTTTTTAGAGATATCAGAAAGGTTAGAAAATAGTTTAAACTATACTTAGTCCGGCAAGAGAACGCACCTCGCTCACACATCCAAATGACTGTGATGAGCACCGCCATGCCTTCTTGCGGTCGGAGGGGACAACGACCGCGTACGACGGACAATGCTCGGGCTGGTTAGTGGTGGGAATGCGCAAGATTGGACAAGTTTTGGTTCCCGCCGAGATGCGTTCTCAAGCCGAACAGAGTATACGTCAAAAAAATTTATTAAAAGCAAAATCCAAACCGAGGCTTGTAGTTTTTCCCTGGCAAAGTTGGGTTTTACAGCTAGTTGGTTATATTATCAATAGTACCATAATTTGTATGTTTTATATTACTAGTAAGATAAACAATGTTTTAATAATATACATATATTTGTATTTTTTAGGACGTGCAATATACTGTACAAACAGCTTTGCTTAAACCAAGTCATTCATTTTATCAATATACAAAGATCCCAAAGAAATATGGACTAATAAAATGGAATATTATAATTTATAATTTATAAATCATGTAGTATATGAGATGTATGTTTGATTGTATGTACCTACCTTCAGATTTAATTTAAATTATTATATTAAATAAATTGATAAGAACTGAATATTACAATTGGAATTTTATAATAATATACAAAAGATCTCCAGCATAAGCCATCTTATTTTATAAATAGATGAAATATGCAAAAAATGAATATGTATATTGTATATTATACAATTTCAAAATATAACTGTAATCAGCTATAAGTTATAACTCTAGGTGAAAATACGACACTATCCATCTTGTAACTATATTTTATAGACATGACTTTGTCTATACTTTTTATAATATTTTAATATACAAAATTAGAATTTGTCTGCAAAATAATTTAACTAAAAAAAAATCACAAATAAACTTACTTCAATATCAGATAATGTTTGAGTCCATCTATAATTAGGTAAATCACAACCATTGCCTGCATTTGGTTTCAATTTGCCTTTTTCTTTTGGATCATCTTCATCTTCTTCAATTGGTTGTGATAACTCATTTGTTTCGGTAGAATTTTTCGAATCTTCAGCTTTTAAGTTTTTTTTCTAAAACAAATAATTAAATATATAATTTAGTACAGTATTATATATAACTATAACAAGATTAAAAAGAGACATTAGATGTTAGCAAATTGTTTATAGGAACATTGATACAATCTTCAGTAATTATAATTTAACTAAAATAGATTGCAAGGTTATGCTAGATTTTTTAAAGTGTTGTTAGGATATTAATGAATTTTAAGCTCATTACAAAAATATTTTAATGAACAAAAATAATTTATTGGATACCTAACTAAAAAAAAATAACTACAATACACCTAATATAGCAAAATACTATTGTGTCCTAGAAATTTACGGTTAGAGTAGCAAAAATGATCAATATTCTTTCGCTACCTACCTACGTATTTGGTAATAATTAAAATTAATAGAAAAGACAAAGTGACGCGTTACTTTCATTAAGTTACTACTCAACATTGCTGCTATGATACTTAAAAAGATTTAAATCGGTACAAAATGTATTATAATTTGTCAAGAAATTATAGAATGATCAGGTATACAAAATTACTAGACTAACATAATATTAAAATTACAACACTTATACATTATACATAAACATGGATATCAATATTGTACAATACCATTCTGGTTGATACATTTTATGTAAATTATGTTTTGTGCGGCAAAATACTATCACAATAACTACATAATTCATAATTATATTTGAAGTACAAAACATGAATAAACAATTATATCTGTATTGATAAAAATTATAGATTTTGTAGAACACATTTTGTTTTAAGACTTACACTGTTTCTATATTATTTTTATTTAGAGAATTTAAATGTGTAATTACAAAAGCACTAAATATGAAACAGAGGTATATTATTACATTTAAGAACACAAGTTAAATACAATTATTCTTATGTTCAAATACCCTTTTCTTCCTTAAGAGAATGTGATATCCTCATATGTGTTGTCTTAGTCTTACAAGTGCGTAAGATAGCAAATTTTATGCTCAGCAGAATATGTATAGCTCCGTTATTTTATAAATTAGAGTGAATTGCAACCTCATGACCTTTTTATTATATTTTAATTTTAAATCGAATTATGAGTATTATAAGATGTGCAAACAACAATTTACAATTTTAAAATACTTATGAGTATACGTGTTCTGCTGAGTGTAAAATTTGCTATGTTATGCACTTGTAAGACGGAGACAACACACGCTGGTATCACATCTTCTTAGTACCCATTTGACAATCCTTGCAAAACACAGCAACACAAATAAAATATATATTTAAAAAAAAGGTATTACGCAATATTCAATATAGCATCCAGATGACACACATTTTAATATGATGTATTCAAAAAAATTAACTGATAACTAAAATTAAACAAAGGCAATTTATCAATAGTAAACAAGTACAACTTTTAAGAACATTTAAAATGCAGTTATTTACTATTGAATATGAAATTATTTTTTTCCTATTATCTAATATTGCCTACATAACGAATAAATTTCCAAATATTTTCATAAATATAATAAATTATAGATGTATATTTTTGACTGAACTACTTGAAACAATAAAAATTGCTATTAAAATAATAAGTAATATTTAAAACAAGTTAAGTTAAAATATAATTTTAAATAAATATAAAAGGCAGCTAATAGATTGTCTAAACAAAATATAATAGTACATTAATACTATTAAAGTAAGTAACATTGAAATCTAAAATTGTTGCCAAAACCCAACCAATTGCTTAAACTATTAAGATAGCTATTATAAATCATTTCATAAAAACATTTTCAACCATTCAAATCCTCTAATCTCAAACCTCTCCTTTCTTACTCTTCCTGATAACCAACCCTGCCGCCTTAAACAGAATTGGCCCAGGGACCTCCCTCCTTAACATTAAAAAAAAAAAAAATCCGCTTAGAATTATGAAGTAGGGTCATTCGGTCCTGTATGGCTGTATACTTATAGCCCCCTCCCATATTACCTATTGCATACATTTATTACAGATCGTATATATTCTTGTTTTCTAATAAACTATAAGAATTTTAAAAAAAAAACTGTTAAGGTAACATTTTTATACAACCTTATATTTCCTACATCGTCATGAGTAGGACTGTTTGATTGTCATAATACATACTTGATTGTCAAAAGTTATAAATAATCAAAAATTTAGATAAATCAAAAGTTTTCAGGTTTTTATAAAGAAGTGCTAGAGCTCGATTGTTGAAATAGTTAAGGACCTACCGGTTAATCTATTAAAACAATTGATTAATCAATTAAAAATTAAAAACAATCGACAATCGCTGTATTATATCTCCTGCCAGGTTTAATCATTTCAGAGGACTCTGCCCATGCATTTGTTACCTCCATCTTACTCACACAGTCACACATGACATATCAAATTTTCGTTCACTGGTTTCAATAGTATGCTGTTAGTTTTTAATATAGAGTGAATTATGCTTAATTAAATATTAAGCTAAATTATTGTGTAGCCAAAACTCACTTACACCCATAGTCTTAGAAGAAAAGACCGCTGGGAAGACCACGTCTGAGATGGAAGGACATAGTGAAGAATGATGTGAAAGAGTTAGGAGGAGGTGTAGACGCTTATTTATAATCTATATAAATGGTTTACTAAACCTAAATATTAATGCTGAAATAATTTGTTATACTGATGATTTCGCCATTTTATTTCTTGACAGGACTGGAAATTATTTATATACTAACGCTAATAATTTTGTAAGAGAAATTAAAGATTGGTTTGATCATCATTTTTTGGAATTAATTTTAAATGTTTTTACTTTAATATTAACTCTGAGTTAATCTACTATGATTATAAAATACGTGTACATCCATTTAATTGTAAAAATAATTGTATCTTTCAAGACAATTCTAATTGTATTAAATACCTAGGCCTCACCTATTACAGTAATTTAAAATGGAATTACCATATTGATAATTTAACAAATATATTGTAAGTTCATTTTTTTTATATTTTTCATGATGTGCTTAATATATTTAATATTAATATGAAACAAATGTTATATTTATCTTAAGTTCAATCAGTTATTAATTATGGTATTGGTTATTGGGGACAAGCATTATCATGTTATTTCTTTAAGAAGTACTTTAACAAGTGTAATTTAATTTATTTTAATATATCCAAGATTATAAGTATTAATTTTGTACATGACTCTTTGAATTTACTTAGTATTAAAAATGTATATTATAAAAATGTTCTAATTACCTTTTATAAGTTACATAATAATATTAACCATGTCACTCATTACTATAGTACATTAGTACATGTTACAAAAAAAATATAAATATTAGTGTTCCTATCCTTTTCAAACAATTTGGTGTAAAAATCTCTTTATCTGTTGAAGTTTAACTGTGTAGAATTCTAAAAATGAAGTAAAACATTTTCCATAATGTAAATTCACTTACGTCATTCTTAAATAATGCTGATTTTACTCATATATGTTTATAATTATTAATTAAATGTTAATCTATTTAGATATATCACAACTGGTGATGTGCCGTGGGTAAATACCTGACGGGTAGGTAAATACTTTGGGTATTTACCCACTATAATATTTACCTACCAAAAATTTGGGTTAATATTTAGTTCAATTTTTAGAAATTTTTTTAAATTTTAATGAAACTTTAAATCATTTAGCTTATTGCAATGGATAACTTTAGTAATTGTCAAACATAATCTTTTTTTATTATTTTATCGGAAAAGTCAGGAAACAATCATAAAAAAATATTGTGATATCCATGGATTGGTATTAGCATAAAAAAAATTTACCCAATTTACCGGGTAAATACCCCGGTATTTACCTGAAATTATATTAACTGGATAATTGCCCATCACTAATCACAACTCAATTTTTAACTCCCCATAACATGCTATGCTTATAGGGGAATTGCAAGTCTTTTTACTATTTTTTATATACTATATTTATGATCTGTTTGTTGATTTGCTATATAAATTTTATTATTATTATTATAAAAAAATGTGACCCTTAAAGGGTGATCACTTGATATATGATACATCAAGTGTGACACTGTTGGATAAGAAGACAGTAATAAAGTATTATTTTTTAACTATTGTGTGTGTTTAATAGTGTACGTTGGAAGCAATCGGCGTAAGGGTAGATCTCTGTTGTCTGATAGCATATAAAATACAATTAATAATATAAAATTATGTAAATTAAAACTAATTTAATAATTATTTAAATAGTAATTCTAGTTATTATTGTCGTAAGTAAACAAAACAGGTACCTTACAAAGTTAAAAAAAAATTTATAAAATTAATACGAAATATGTATTTTTTAACATGTCTTACCAAATCTATCTCTTTTTGGAGTTGCTCAGCTTCTTCATCGGTTAATTCTTTTAGTTTCGGCTTAGTCTCTAATTCTTTCTCCTTTTGTGACTTTTGTAATCTTTTTAATGCTTCCAGCTTACGTTTTTCGTCTATTGCACGTTTTTCATTCAGAGCAATATCACGATGTCTATTAAATACTGACATTAACATCTAAAATATTAACATAGTATACATAAAGGTAGATATTAATTTTATATGTAATGCTATATCAATTATATACTTGTTCGGATGCTTTTTCATCAGGACTTCCAATAAAGAAATCAGTTTTACGACCCAAAAAACTGAAAAATGTATCCAAAAGCTAAAACAAAATAAAAAAAATGAATCTAGATTCTAGATAAAAATGCTACTTTTATTTGTTTTTCAGTATTTAATACATTTTTATGAAAAAGAATATTTTTATATATAAAAGATTATTTTGATGAAATTATTGAGCATAGAAACATCTTATATTTAAGATTTTAAGAACATATAAATCCGGTCTCTGATTATTACAAAATAGAAAATTAAATTATATTATGATGTAGTATTATTTATCACATAACTCTTAGTTATGGTTTCTGCGAGCAGTAATTACTAATTTCCACCTCATCACTCTTGAAGTATGTCAGTATAATATGTATGTAACAATTTTTAAGAGAGAGATAAACACAAGGGTTTTGTTATATTCTGTAGTATAATAGCCAACTGGTGGATGGAGCGGTAAATGCAGACTGACACAGGTGAATTGGAAAAAAATGTTTGACTGACAAAATTTGAGTTTGTTATACCACTGGCCTCAAGTTCATAATATTTCCGTTATAATTCCATACTTAATTTTTATTTTTCAATAATACAAACATTACAATATTACCTATAATTATTAAGTGTAATTTGGTTATGTTGACCTTTTTTATCAACTTTTAATTACAGTGAAAAATTCCCTAACAAACACCTCCCAATAGGAGACGTTGTCTTGGGGACCAACAACAAACTTGAACCCTATGATGAGCGGACACACTGAGTGTCCAAAATTTAGAGATTTCACTATAATATAATATTAAATATGTTACTATAGCAACACCAGTACCTATTGAATTAACAATAGAAAAATCAATAATATAATGTTATAGGTAAGTTAATGAAATAAAAATATAAATTAAAGTTATCATCACAAATTCTTCGAAAAGGAAAGGTAATACATCGCAATTACCTACCTTGAGTTAATCAAACAAGAATAGTTTACTACTTTTTAAAAATAACAAATACTATCAAATTTAACTACTTTAACCAAACTATTTATTGTTGAAAATACATTTGTTTCTCTTCCCAAAAAAAAACAGGCCAATAAATAAAAAAGATTTCTAATGTAAGCAACGTAACTAATCATGAGTTTTCTAATTTTTTTCTAATTACTTGTTCTACTCCTTTCTCGTGCTGCTGAGCCAATGCCAGAAGCATTGAATCAAACTTTTCTTCATTCCCATTTGACATGATGTAATATAGATCCAAATAAATCGCTATGAAATATATTATTTAATATTATAGATCAACGACTAAAAATTATATTACGATTAACGACAAAAACGCTGGGCATCAAATAATATAACGTGCGCCGTGCGGTTACAAAACAAAATTGGTAAATGGTAAATCACTTATCGTTATCACTTAACATTACAATATTTACAAGTCACGAGGCTTTCGCAGTAGTGGCACCATAGAACAATAAATAATATCATGGTGGGAGTGGGAAACAAAATAACGAACCTCCGTAACCACGACATTAGATAATAGCCGTTCCCATGAGAAAGTTTTCCGAATTAATAATTATCTTTCTGTTCGATTTTCGTAGTAGTTGACTATCGATGTATTTTGTTCGGTGCGTAAACTGAAATACAATTATTAATAAACAATATTAAATTTAATATAATTAAATATTTAAATAATGGTTCTTGAACCCTTCATCCTGAGCTATTCAGTGAGCCTGTCTCCTTAGGTTTGAAGGAGGAAACCCCAACCCATTTCCGTTCTTAATGTCCGACTATGCCGGTCTACCGTATAGCATAATAACTATGCAGTAGTATGCACCTGTGGAATTGGTTTTATTGTTACGTAGTAACTTGCTAGGTTTACTACATTAGGGAGTAGCACGGTAGTGTAGATGGTAGTAGGTTGTAGCCTGTAGGTATCTGTCGTATAATATTCAGTGGTCGAAGTAGTGGTGGGCCTTGGGGATATGGTGGTATGGGAATGGATCAATCCCTCCGAACTTTTTTATAATTTACATTTTCGGATTTTCCAACCCTCCAATTATTTTGACGAAAATATAGCATCCACCTGTCCTGACATCTTTGATTATAATATACAAATATTATCGATTTTTTTTTTCATTAGGGTTAAGGCACCCAAAAACAAAATAAACATTAAGGAAAAACTGGAATTTTATACACATAATCGGTTTTTTTGACAAAATCGATTTTGTCTTTTGGTGTAGGTACCTAACTCTAAAACAAATGAAAGTAGGTACGTATATGAAATTTTTACTGAATGTTTATATTAGCCTTTATGGCCTTTATACATGAAAACATTTTCAAAATATTTTGACTTGTTTTGAAATATTTACCGATATATACTCTGTTTCCATTTTTGTAACTCAGGTAAGTTAAAAGTTATATGAACATTTTCAATTAACTTATTATTTTTGTATAATATATTCTATATAAATACCCAGTAATATGGTTTAAAATAATAAAAATCATAAATATTATTGAACACAGGAAATAGCCAATAGCTTTTCTATACATTGGTACCTACTGAATTAATAGAATTATGTGGTAGGTACGAAAAGCATACAAAATTTAAAATGCCCCAACGGCAAACAAATACAATCTTTTGATTTATTAATACAGATAAACATAAATTATACTTATACATTTATACATATTACACAGACCGAGTAGGTATCCAGTTATTGTGGACTGGATGTATTGAGAGGATTAAAAATTATTATATAATATTATACTATAATTTAATCAAAAAACCCAATTAGTTTTAATTTAAAAAAACCTATTTATGCCGAAAATATTTTACAATATTATGTTCTTGAGAATTGTACATTTTTGATTTGTATCTATATTTATATTTTATATCAATAAAATAAAATACTATCATATAATTTATTAGTTATTACTTATTAGTATTTATTAATTATTATTATTACAATATGCCCGTATGCCGCAGTATGGTATGGTAATATATGGTATATCTTTATATATATTATATAATATATTATATATATACCACAGACTATATGAAATATATATAGTAAATAGTAATATACTATACACGCCTATAATATGTTATACAACTTATAATATAATAGACTATTGTTTAATCTATATGTATTTAATTAAGTTAATGAAAATTAAATTTTAAAAAGTTAAGTTAAAAGTTAAAATTAACTTAACTTTTAACTTTTTGACGCGTTTATGCCCAGGCTTGCATTTAAAGTTATAATCTTGACAAAATACGGAAAAAACACGAAAATTAGCAAATTGTTTTGAGTTGAGAATTCATAAAAATATTACCTATTATTTTTACCAGGTAGTCGAGATAACACGGTTGATGATAATAGGTAGTCTTGGAAATATTTTGCTAGTCGATATAACACATTAGTCATTAACACGGTTGTGCACCCAAAAAGTACATTTTTGTTAAATTTGTATTTGAAGTTCATTTTTCACATTTTAGTTATTACTTATTACCTATGCTGTATGTAATATTTAATATGAATTTTCCAGGAATTGGAAAAAAATCGATGATTAAATGTTATATGATAGTATTGTGAAAATAAGACACCAAACTAAGAACCAAAAATATATACTAAACGTAAAATTGTATTGTAAAAAAAGTTATACGGAGTCTAACTTACCCCCAATCCACATATTGTAGGACTGCTTAAGCAGTAAACTTATGAGAACTATAGAAAATATGTAAAGCATCCCTCCATTTATTTTGAGCCTCTTTGATGGTGGCCTACATACCATGTTTCAAAATAATGCATATCTTTTCAATAAAACGTAAAAAACATGAATAATCCCTATGTTTTTATTTTTCAAATGATTACAACTTTGATAGCATATAAAATACTTTATCAAAAATCAAGTATATAATATATTGACGTTTTATACTTTTATCTAAATAAAAACAAAATTTAATTAAATTTGTTTCTTTGTAATATACATTCAATGTTAGACATACAATTGCAGGTGCTAATATAAAAGGAATAGATGATATAAATTATAAATAAATAAAAAATATTTCTGACATTTATTAGTATAAAATTGAACAAAATAACTTTACTTCTAAATCATTAAAGTTGTATTAAAATTAAAAATAAGGAAAATATAGGAGGTTATATCACAAGTTAATTTTAAGTGCAACAGCAAGTCAAGTTCATCTTAAAATAACACAATATTTTAAAATGAACTTAAAAGTCAACCAACTATAATCCCTGTACATAATGATCAACAAGTTAAATTCATAAATACCAAAAATGTATTTAATGCAAATAATATGAACATAAAATAAAAATCATTATATTGCATATGCTAAAATTTAGTTAAAATGAAGATAAATATTAAGACTGGAAAAATTAGTTTTCAGTCATCATTATATAAGTATATATATTTTTAAATTACATACTTAAAATTAGTACTAAATAATTAAAGTTGTATAGTTTTTAGAAATTTTTTTGTTATCCTTGTTGTGGTTGAATAATGTTGAACCAGTGTTTTTGGTCTTCTCCGTCATCATCCTGTATTTGTATCTGTACTATTTGCACGTTTTCACCATTTATAGTAGCATGTTCAGCAAATGCTGCAGCATCATTTTCATTCAATGTTATATGACGAGTGGCTGGCACTATCAATTGACGATGTTCTTGACCACCAACACTGACAGTAACAGTCTCCATGTGTCCAACATCCACATCCCCGTCATCTCCATGATGATCCATGTTCAACATCGTATGAACATCACCATGTTGGTCAGTCGTTGTGTATTGGATCTATAATATGGGATAGTTATAAAAAGAACAAAAGCATTGAATCTAAAATGATAAATTACTTGATATTTATTGTCAACAAGTATTTGCTCAACAGAATTTAAATCATTTCCGAGGTCTTCTTGTTTGCCTGGTAAAAGTATGTGCTCTTTTAATTCTCCAGCAAACAATTTTCTTTCTTCTTCAGTCATGTCACGCTAAATTGTCATTTTTGATTCATTAAATTAATTATTGTAATTTAATCTAATAAGTTTAATTTGAATACTAACCAATTCTGTTTGGTTTCCTTCAGAATCAACCACCATGGCCAATTCCATTTCAGCATCAGTAACTGGCATTTGAATGTCTTCTTGAATTTCTTGTATGGTTACGGGACTAGATGCTAGCCGTGGTTGATTAACAACAATAGTATCATTCAAATGACCTGCTTGAGTCATATGATTGTAAAGTAATGGTTTACGCATAAATCCAGCACCACAAACTAAACATTCGTAGGGCTTTTTGTCGCTATGTACAAAACGATGAGCATTTCTATTATCTCTACTGTTGAATGCTTTACCACAAACCTTAATTTAACAAATTTAATAATAAAATATCAATATTGTAATTTTAAAAGAAATATTTTTACTCTGGCCTTACTTCACATAAATAAGGTTTTTCTCCAGTATGAATACGTGCATGTTTTTTAAAATGTTCTGGGTAAATAAATGATGCTTGGCAGACATCACATTTGAATGGTCTTTCTCCTGTGTGTGCAGCCTTCATATGGTAGTCTAATAAGCGACGCCTCTTAAAACCTTTACCACAATCTGTACATTTATAACGCTTATCATCGTAGTGGGTAGCTCGTTTATGAGATTGCAAGTTGCTTCTTTGACTAGATGTGTGAATAACAAAATTTGAATATTATTTGTCTAATATTTGATAAAGTAAAACATATCATAATTTACAAATTATACCTGAATGTTGCTCCACAAAATTCACACTGGTATGGTTTTTCCCCGGTGTGAATACGCTCATGATCCCTAATCTCAGCTTTCCTAGCAAATGCTTTGCCACACATACGACAAATAAATGGTTTATAACCTGTGTGTACAACATAATGCACTTCTAAATTGCGTGCAGTACCAAAAGCTTTACCTAAAATCAATAAATAATATTAGTTATAATCAATATTAAAACAAAATGAGTTATTAAATTATCTGAAAAAGGGATAAGAATGAATATTTATATGAAAGCATTTAAGAAGATACAAATCTACAACAATAAATATAATTTGTACATATTGGGTAATTAGTATTTTATACCTAAGTAATGTTTAAAATGGATAATGATTATTTTTTGATTAGATTTATTTATATGTAAAAAGAAAATATAGTACTCGTGTAGTATGCTATCTACCCAAAAACTGTATGAATGCAGTATGATA